AACAAAAACAAAAAACAAAAACAGTTGACCCGCTTACCAAGTGAAACAACGCTTCTCTCCTTCACGGAGGCTTTTATGTAATTTCACAGTTTGGTGGCACTAATGAGTAGAGTAGAAAACCGTAAGCTGAGGCTACTCAAAGAAATGTTGAGAAAAATATTTTTGACGATATTTAAATTGAATCGTGTCTTATATCTTATATCTTATTTGAATTTTTCTATTCCTATGCCACTTAAAGTGTAGAATTCGTTGTGATATTTCACGCTACGTTATTTTTCAACAACACAAACTAACTCGCATGCCACATGATCGTACGAACATACAGTTTTCATCCGCAACAACTCCTGCCACGAATTCAGGTGTCCCTTTCTCTCTCATTATTTTTTAATATCAAACAGAGCCAGTAATCGTCTTTTCTAATACTAAGAGATACCCTTAAAGAAAAGGAGGCTACAAATATTAATTTGGAAACATCAAAAATGGCTAAAGTGAGAAAAATACTTGAATAAATCGCAAGAATGGTGAAGGAGTCAGAGAGAGAGAGAGAGAGAACTGACACAGATAGCTTACGACCACCTCAGAAAGTTGAAGGTGATTTTTTTTCTCGTTACAAGCCCGTTGATCAATAATTACTCAAGTAGGCATACCTTTCTAAGGTCACTACCGAATATATTACCAACCTTGCACGCCCTCGCTGTTTAGCTTTTCATCTGTTATTCTTCGCACGGTCGGAGATGCGTTTAATGTCCTACACTGAATTTATGCAGGGTTTAACTTAAACAGTGCAATTGTAGCGTGATGACAGTTAAGATCAAATAGACAGTTGTTGCGATTCTTCATGATATTTGTTTGGGCAGAGGTTGCGCTTTTGAGGGGCTTGTTTACGAACACTATACACGACCCCCATCGTCTAATTTCCCACAAATTTGATTTTAACTGAATCAGAGGATTAAAAGGATGAAAAAGTGCTTTTAACCGTATGCCTATTCTGAAGACATCAGGGTGAAATCAAACGGTTTGATCATAAAATGTTGGAAATTATGGGACTAAAATGAGCTCAGCTCCTTCATGAACAACACTGGTATAAATATTTTAGATACTATTGCAAATAGGGAGAATCATATGATGCTTGATGCGAGTATCGCGAGTGCTCTTGAAAAAACACATATTTAATACTGAACCAGGGAACTTACTTGATGTTGGTCTTTGAGAGAGATGATATTTTTAAAGACAATCAGTAAGGTACTGCAGTCTTATCCAGACACGAACATTCCAAATATTGCCTTGGTCTTCGGATCAAATTTAGAACATAACAGGATTAAAATTACACGCTATGCCACCTCATGCAATGCTATCCAGACACCCTTTCTCTGTCCATCATTTCGTTTTCATTATGATAGCAAGCAAGATTTCAAAACGTACTGTTTACTATGAACGCAACTCTCGTTTCCTACCCGCCTTTAACATGTTTCGCGTTTACAGAACGTACGCTGAATAACTCTAGAAAGGCAACAGAAACCCGTGTTAGAAACACTTGATAGGATCTCGTAGTAACGAACAAAAAAAGGGGTGACGTCGGTGTTCTGGGAAGCAGCTCAATCAGGCTGTTTTAATGTGGATAGTGGGCCTAACCTTAGAAATAAAGCTCTGTTCTCAGAATTCCCTGGTTTGGTGTTGAAGATGCCATATATTAGAGGGACTCTTGTTTTAGTTAGTTGAATATCTTCAAACTTCTTGAAAGTACTATTAAAATTCCTTTTACACAAAAGAAGACTTAATATGAGATTAGTTACCAGTTGTAACTTAGGATCACAACGGGACTTCACAATGAGATGGCCCACACAGGGATTCATAGGCTTTTTAAAACAAGAATCCTCAGCCTCCCATCCCCCCTCTCTTCCTTTTTTTTTAGGTGTGATATCATTCCATTCTAAAAAAAATCCCTGCCCTTGATTCAAGATTTTTAAATCAAAAGAGACTTTGTTCGGCGGATTTCAAGTTCGTTATTTGCAGTCCGAGTTAGTCTTTTCCATTCTTAACCATTCTTGTTCGAGTTGTATGCCTAACTGATTCCTTCGCAGTCGTCTCTCTACTTTAAAGTATTAACGAGGGAAGCGCGAGAGAGTTGTCCACGGGAAAAAATGAGCGCTTCAGCTTAGTAAAGCTTCCCCTTCGCGCTCACACGACCGGGTAGGAAAATTAGTGAAGACTGGGGACGAGTCGGTATTCTAATCTTTTTGGTGATTGTTTCGATAATTCATGGGTTTTATTCTATTTAAAAGATATTTCTCTCTGAATCAAAGTATCACGACAACCCTTAGCTTTAAGAAGTTTTTAATGAAAATTTTTTTCAAATTAGACGCTACGCACTAATGAATTCAATAGAAAATAACAGGACTTTTTCTCTTGGTGAATTCTAGTTGTAAAGTGTAATGTTCACTAAAAAAGTGTGGATTATTTTTTTGAACATCTTATTGATATGCGTGAATGTGCAGCCATTCTAAGCGATGGATTCCTCCTTGAACTAATAAAAATGTCGGTGGAACATTCATCCTCTTCAACCTCAGATGTTACAAAAAAATTGTTTATAGCGATTTCCATACCTTTTTGAAAGGTTCTTTTTCGTCGACTTGAAAGTCACAGTGCGCGGTTAGTTGTTGAGTGAGTCGATTCACAGTTTCAATATCACACGACTTTGTAACTGTCTTCAAGAGTCAGCCACACTCAGAGTAAAAGAAACGTAAACAAGAATTTGTTGTACAGCATGAATACCTCGAGAGTATTTCATTAACTCAATTTAATTACATCGTGAATGGTAAAAAATAATAAAATGAATCAATCACCCCCGCATTGCCCGAAGTAGTCATCCCTTGGCGAGTTTCCCAGCAGGACTCACACCGCAGAAGTGAAAGGCCGGCCCTCTCTGTATTTCTAATTATCACATTGCTTTGAAGGCAGTACTACTACATACTTCTAGTTTGAATGGCGTGAGTCAAAGAAATTTTTGCTAAACAAATAATTGCCGAAATATATTTATAATCATCAATTATTGACATCACGAGTTTGACTACTGTACGAGAGGCATATGTAAATCAAATGTTTGATCATTTTTTAAATGGCGTAAATTAAATATAGAAGTGAGGAAAAGAATTCTCCATCAGTTAGACAAGCTTTATTTTCACTGAATATCTGTCGTCTATATGCACAACATACTGCCGTCACAAATAAATGAAGATTTACTCGGAGCCTTCGCATTCCATATTGGGTTTGTCGAAATGCGCTTTCACAAGCGAAGTTTCCCGCGAAATAAATAGAGTTAAAAACTGAAATTAGACTTTTGACAAGTGCCAATTAGTTTGTATATTTTGGAAGTCAAACAGCATGGGATTCTAACATATTCACATGATTCTTTTGAATAATTTTAACGAAAAAAACCTTTCTTAGGGATTTGTCACGAATTCTCCCCGCAGGAACGACATCAGAAACGGCCTTTTTTAGCGGGAGACGATGCGTTGCAATAATTAACTATCTTGTGAAAGCGCCGTTCAATTTTCTCAGGACTAAAATATGAAAGTGGACATTCTGGGTTATAAACTTATGCGTGGCATGAGCTCAGCTGTCAGTTTCTCAGGCTTTCATTTAGATGAAAGCTGAGAGACTATTGTCTTGACTATTACCGGGCACTTTTCCACACTGAAAACCGAAAATTTGAAAATTTGTTAGAGAAGGAAATATTCTTCGAGTACACAAACCTTGCACGACTTAAAATACCACGGCAGGAATAAGGGTCTGGAAGTATTTACCTTCATCGAGACGTTTGAATTTGCAAATAAACCATTGAAATGTCTTTTTTTCGTTTTCTAACTTTATTTACTTTTTCCCCGGGTGAAACAACACCTGATGAAACAGCCACACGCAGGCAAAAACCAAATAAAGACAGGCCATTTTCAAGAGATGATGCCTTAATAATTGTTTGGTGTATTTTAAACGTTTAGTGACTCTCATCTATCTGTATTTTTAACCGCCATTCTTTCAAATGCGGTCAAAAATCGAAAATTTTTTGGGTATTGTATTTTGTGTTGTCATTGTCAAGCTTCAATTAGCTTTTACAAGCTCGTATTTAAGATGATTATTCAGAATGCGAAGAGAAATCAGAGATTTTTTTTTTCGGATGGTACAACTAAGGTGCAGTTTATTTCATGTCGTTGAGTTTGTCAAATATCTTAATACAAACAGAGCAGACTAAATGATTCAGTATTGATGAAGGGAATTGTGAAAAAAGTGAGACCGATCTACTCTTTCATAGGATTGTTTACGTGAATATTTCATTTCAACGATTTTTTAGTCATTGACAAGAAGCCGATGAATTACACAAACTGGATTTTAAGGCTTGTCTTTCCTAAAAAAATGAGCCTTTTATAATTTCTTTCAAACAAACTTACAATTAATTTTATAATGCAGAAAGAACGGCTTTAAATCAACAAACTGACAGAGCTACAAAGTAGAGTGTATGTCAGCATCAGCCGTTACTATTTTTCGACACTTCAATGCATGCTCATTGTTTGTATAGTGGTGGGCGAACACTTACACTAAAACATTGGAATTGAATGGTACCAAGAGCTTTGAGCGGTTTTTAGTTTTGAGATAATTTTAAATTAAGGTCTAAAGTTACATTTCACTCCGTCTGTTTATCGCATGCACAGCAGGGGTTTGAATCAAGAAAGTCATTAAAATGAGAGTTGAAACAGTAAAACGGTAGGAAACGTCGGAGTGGTATTAAGGAGGTTTTGAGGTCGTAAGAAGTCTTAATCCTGGGAGATCTGTCGATATCGTGCTGAATTTATTAGGTGAAACTGCGGATTTCCTAATTGAAAATTGCGAAACTCGCCATTGGCTTTATCGCTTTCTTGGTAACAAGAAATAGACAGAGGTCAAACGCGCGCGTGAAGAACGATACATCGAAGAAAGAACTTTAGTTAAAAAAACAAAGAGACCTAGAAATGCCAGTTGATGAGTTTAAAGAAAACTGCACGATAAATATCGGAAGTTGCGACAACTCAACATGGTTATGGAACTCATCCAGTTACAATGACTCGGATGAAGATTTGAGTTCACCTTTTATCACAAAGTTACAAATAGGTTTTCAGCTGGTCGTTGGTTTGCTGGGAACTTTCGGTAATGTATTGGTTTTCACCGTCATTCGAGAAATGAAAAGGAAAAAGTCAAGAACGGATATATTTGTACAAAATCTTTCTATTGCAGACCTTGGAATCTTCTTGCTGTCAACTCCGCTCATGGCTATCAAAGAAAGATTGCCGTATAACTGGCCTTTTGGGAAGTTTGCTTGCCTTTATTTATATCCCATTCCCGAAATTTTTCACGGGGCATCGGTTTGGTGTATTGCTGTTATTGCCTTCGACCGATATCGACAGATAATAACACCGCGGATTTATGGTCCCAACAAACGCAGGACTTTGCTGAAGAGGGCCAAGTATGTTGTTGCCTGTGTATGGGTTGTTTCTTTTCTGGCACTTTGTTTACCACTTTACTTTGTCGTGGAATATCAGAGAACAACCGGGAGATGGTGTGGTCCTCGCTGGCCACAGCGGTTGTTTGCACAAGCGTACATGATCTTGCTGACAGTTTTCTCATATTTGTTACCTCTAGCTGTGATTTCGTGGACTTATTTGGCGATCTCGCGTATAATTCAACGAAGTAATGCATTTATCAAAAATATAATACATGGTAATGGAGCATTGGAAGACAGGTGCTGTGTCTCTTCAACAAAAAATGTGCGCCTGCGTCAAAACAGGAGGGCAAAGAAAATTCTCACACCGATGGTTTTGGTGTTTGCAGTTACAATGCTTCCTCTCAACGTCTTCAGACTAACCATTGTGTTTTGGCCTGCAATGGGGAAACAAGATTATTATCAAAACCTGCTGTACGCAATATCGGTGTTCGTCATGCTGAACTCTGCGGCCAACCCTGTTATCTATTCAATTGCAAGTAGGGACTTTCGCAGGGGAATAAAAAATTTATTTCATAAAGAATCGTGAAAAAAAGATTACTGAAGTGAAAGTTTATTCAAAACCGATTCTAATTTTTTAGATAACGACAGCTGATGAATCTTTTCCTAAAAAAAAAAATCTAAAACCTTCTCATTCATGGCAATCGTTAATTTTTCTATTTTTACGTCTCGGTTGCGTAATAATTTGCCATCTCTTGAAAAAATAAAAAAAATAAGTGAGAGGTTTTTCACTAATTTCAATGTCCACAGAATTCTTTCCTTTAACTTTACTTAAAATCCCAGTCCTTATAAAAAGCTCTCTGGGACATCTGATAATCTAATGAAAGCGCTTTATAAATCATGTATTAACATTAGATAAAAAGGAGTGTAAATAGATTTTCCAAGAGACACATCCTAAGACAAAGATAAATTTCGAAATGTCAGTTTAATCTCTGTATATAAATTTACGAAACAGAGGAGAGCAATGCGTCCTTCGGATTAAAATTTTTCTGTAGGAAATAGCAAGAATAACGAAAGGATAGCACAGAAAGATCTTTAGATTGTCTTACATTTGAGGATAACAGGTAACAAAAACTCACACTGACCTAAACTAGTGGTTCAATGTTTATTATGTTTATGTCAGTGTTTGGTAGACCTCTATATTGCATTTGTCAAAAACCAAAGTCTATTAGCCGATTTATATATATTTATATATGTATAAAAAACATCAAACTTCTGGAAGTTTAGGTAAATAAAGGGGGAAATTGATGCTTGAAAAGTTTCACGTTAAGCCAATGACAACTCTAATATGGAAGCAGATGCACTAATGTGGCTAACATAACTTGAATAATGCGGTACATTATATTACATTTTAATTAACCTTAAAAGGTAGCGTTAAGTAACAACTTATATTTGGGTTCTTAGGTATCAAAGGCATAACATAAATATACTTACAGAGGAAAAATGAACTTTTTTGATGAGTTGCTTTGCTGTATATAAATAGAGAGTGATCCGGGGTTCGTTCGGTTTTGCCTTACTTCGCTCTATGATTGGTCAAGAAAACTCGTGCCACCATCTCAACCAATCAAATTCAAACAAAAAATTCCAATCCCAACTTGGCCACTCGCGTTTTCCCGCGCTTTCAGCAGGCTCCAAAGTTTTTAATTTAAGTTCTCATCGGTCAATGATGATGTTAACCTTTTTTTTCTGAATGGTAATTGTAATTAACTTTGTTTTTGGTTTTTTCGACACTCAATTGAAAACCCCCCTTTGCCTTGAATTGGTAAGTGTAAATACGTAGTTAGCCTTTAAAGTCCTAAGACCTGATTAGTCTAAATTGCATTTTTATCCTTTTAAATGTTATACAGGCCTTGTGACTTACTTAGGAGAGTTTGAGGTTAAATCAAAAATTTTGCGAAAAAAATGTATTTCAGTTTTTGCTGTTGTTGGAACCTAATTAGAGTAAAATGAGCTCAAAATCCCAACTGGAAAGGTTGAAATGTTTTTTTTATGTAAATCAAAAAATTCAGATTGTGGAAACTTAGCAGATCAGGCAATATAGGTAATTTAAAAAAGCAGCAAATCTATTTTTGTCGGCTCGACGTCGTTCATGAGGGCTGTGTAAAAGGACAAGTGAAATACGTGACCCAGTATTCCATGCACCTGGAATAGCAATGGGCTGTTATAGTGTCCCAAACTAGTTGTTGCATTACACTCGAAGTTTTTCCAGTTGCATTGATCTTGTGGAACTTGCAAATGAAGAGAGAGGCATTTAAGCTTTTTTCTTTGTTTGATAAAGTTATCGCTAAGCAGAGTTAACTTCATTAGCGCGTTGCATATTCTAATTAAGACCTTCACGTATCAGACCCAACTTTTCACGGGTCAGGTGTTCGGTCAGCTCCACTTCTATTGCAGAAGAAGAGAATGCACCAGTTCTTGATCGTGATCTTGAAACAACTTCTGATGAAGGCGCGTGACTGACTCTTCCGTTTAACCAATATGTCACCAATTTTCCTTTACCCTACAGATAAGAAGATAATACACCGAGAAAAGAACGGAGTTCGAGCAGGTATTAAAGAGGGAACATTGATTATTTCACACGTCAATCAGGAATACTTTTCTCGGATGACGGGTCGCAAATGATATAAGCCATGAAATAAGTTGAATGCAGTTGAAGCGTAGCACTAACGACTGGTAAATACATTCTCTCTCTCTCATAGAGGGGGGATATTCACCCAAAACGCAGGGAGATGGGGAAGACCATTGCTCAGATTCCTAACTTTTATCTAGCCCAGAAAATTATGAATTTTAATAGCCACAGCGTACTACACGAATCAAAAGTTATCCATCACCTCAGTATTTCAGACCAAATTTGCCAGGGAGCTTTTTCAGAGATAAATAGAGACAATGATAAAAATCTTATTCTATAGAACCTACTTCCTACCTAAGTTTATAATTTTCATTCTTATTTCAGATTCAAGGGTTCTGGTGAGACGCTCACATACAAAGTTGATGTATCATAGACCCTCGTGAGTAATTAGAGGCACCAAATAGAAAAACATGTCTTTACTTCATGGAGTAATAAATTTCACAGTTTGATCTCAGTAAAATAATGAATTGAGCCCGCAAACCTTGACTTCAATCGATCCTCGTTCTCTCATGTTATAACCTCCACATGTCTCTAAGAACACCTTGGTGGCTGCGCTGATGTGGATTTTTAAAGCTAATATGTACACAAAGTTAAATCACGAAATTAGTACCGAGGAACCAGACTCTGAATCGAAGTGCATTTCGACCGAGTGTCGTGACACTAAAACTTAAGTAATCACGTTAGCTAATCAGAACGAAGAAAATCATCGCAAGGAGTCAAACTGGTAAAGCTCCAAATAGATACGTGGTGCAACCGGCATAAAGCGCGGGTAAACACGAGTGACCAATCATTTGCGATCGGTGTTAGTCGTGCATTAGATTGGTTAAGAGAATTTTCTTGACCAATCAGAGCGAGAAGTAAAGACAAGCTAGTGCAATCCACGCAGCGCAATGCTCTTTCGTTACATGTGCAAAGAACATTTCATTTTAATTTCAACTCTGGAAAAGAAAGTCAATTTTGCAGATCCCGTGAAGGAAGTTTATATAAGAAGTTTGAAGACATTGCTCTTGGTGATATTTTTGACACGTTCTCATTGCCCGTCTATTTGAAAATGTATTGATATCTCGTGAGAAAACATAGATTGATCACGCACCTTCTCCACTTGATTCCATTCTGGAGGCAGTGTTTACTGTATCGCCAAACAGACAATAACGAGGCATTTTCAAGCCAACAACGCCTGCGCAAACAGGACCTAAAATACGAAATTATTGAAATGTGATATCTCCTGTTATCTTTCAACTAAATAAAACTCGTAAAACAGGCGAAGGGGACGCTTAAACTTTAAGATCAATGTCAGCATCTGAGCAATTGCGCCCCTTCTCCTCCCTTATCTCAACATAAACCCTGACCAGTTGATTGTTGTTGGTTTAGGAAAGGAGTTGGTGCGCGGCTGCTCAGCTACTGACATTGATCCCGGCAAATTATTTGATAGGAATATGACGCTGCAGATGCGAGGCCCGTAATCGTAGTCATTATTTCTCTCAGTCACTGGGTTCAAACTATCCTTTGTCTCGAAATTGAGTGTTAAAACATACTAAAGACTGAACGACGATTTCACTTTTACTCGTCTTGTCTAAGACGTGCGTCCGTCCTTTGACGCCGATCTACGTGATTTCAAATTATTTTCCAAAACCCAACAGTCGAGATGTAAAAAAATATTTTTAACCCCGCCTTGTTGGTCAACTGTGTACTTGTAAAGCAAGGTATTAAATATTTGTTGGAATAACCTCATAACCAGGACTAACTCTTTTTCCCCCAAGAGAGACTCCAAGAACCAATTATTTGACCTGGAAACATACGCTCAGCCCATATTACACATTCATTTAGGGACCAATCATAATTTATCACCGGAGGGGGTGGAAGTCGAAGAATTTTGGTTGTGTCACAAACAAATTTACCTGATCCTCCCATAAAGCTCTGTAATGTCCTTATGACCCCCCCCCCCCCCTCACTGGCAGTAAATTGGCAGTCAGTTGTCTATAGTCGCCCCCCCCCTTCATACTCTGTTGGTGACTGTTTACCCTTCCGTTCCCCCTGAAAAACCATGTGATCTTCCCAAAATCTTTTACTCCCTCTTTTTAATTCCATACCACTGTGGATGCCAATTCTCAGCTTAAGTTTCTCTTCCGGACGGTGCTTTATTTCAAAAGTTTGCACAGACTGTAGGAGATGAAGCGCCATGTCAGCTATCTCTAGGGCGTGTTGATGGCCGTTTCTTATTGGCAGACCAGAGACAACCATATAAGCGTCACCAATAGTCTCCACCTGAAGAAAAAGCCGATCATAAATTAACGGCGGGTTGAAAATTTGACCTGTATGTATGTATTTATTGTATATATCTGCGATATTTGGACGAAGCCTGTATAAACAACTATAAGGCCAGACCACAACACTGGGAGATACATTCCTAGCCTACGTGTAGTCGTACCCTCCCACTCCCCCCCTCCCAAGGTGAAACAGAAGCCTTGGGGGAATGGGAATGGCTTACGTAGTCTACTACATTCCCTACATTTTGCTAAAAGTAGATTAAGAATTGTTGGCAAACGTCTTTTGGCTTATTACTCTGTGTTAATTACACTTGTACCATGTTTAAATTTCTAAGAGGTGTAGCTTAATTTTGAAAAATTAGTCAAAGGACGCTTAAGCCACTCCAGTGGCATTTGTCAGTCGTGGAAAATGCAATAGTTGTGTAATTATTGGAAATAAATTGTGGAAAACAAACTTAAGAGAAAAACCATTTTTCACTCTTTGAAGGCCAAGATGTTGCTCACTTTAGTTGAAGTTCAAATAAACTTATAAATGTTCCATTTAATTTTGTACCTTATAGACATCATATCCATGGATTATCGCATCAAATGTAGTATACAAGTCATTTAGCAAGGTCACAATCTATCAGCAAAAAAAAAAAAAAAAAAAATGACAAGAGGGAAATCAGCTGGCGGCTTCAGTAGTCGAATATGCATAGTGCTTCGTGTAAGTGTCAGTCACAAGTATGAATACCACGTTGACTTGTGTAAGGACTCCAAATTCTAATTCTACCTGGAACCAGTGGACAAGAGGAACCACCTCGTGGAATGTCCACCCCTAAATTCCCATTCCTGTTTCCATTCTAAAAAACTCAAAGATTAGAATAATGTTATTTGGGCAAAAATGTTCAAAACTGAAGTTGATTCATCGCTACACAGTACATCTAGATCGTATCCTAAAATTAGTTGCGTACGAGATAGGAACCCTGGATCAATTTCAGCATCTGTGTAACTTCACACTTACCCCTCCCCTGACTCGAGAACAGTCGACTGATATCAAGTTTGGGTTACTTCTGGGTGAAGGGAGGGGTAGGCGTGTAGTTTCTCAGATAATGAGATTGATTCGGAATCCTCATTGGAAAATCCTCAGAGCGTGATATATATTTGATAGGAGGCAGAGTGAGGGTTTTGTCTCAAGCAATATGCGACAAAATGTTTGTTAAGTATCGATGAGGTTTCTCCAGTTAAAAAGTTATAAGGAGTAAAACTATGAGGAGGATTTCCAAAGGTTGACAGGGCTATTGTGGAGTTAACCTGCAATGGAGTACTCTCTGAGGACAGAGCAGTAAATCCCACGATGTCGCTAAAGAATAATGTTACTTCGTCAAAACTTTCAGCCTCCACTGGTCTTCCTCTTTTCAACTGATCAGCTACACTCCTTTTAAAAAATTCAAATGATAGCAAACATCATTGAATTTCAATGATATCTATAATTTGGGTGGTGCATCTGAGTCTGGTGAAAAAGAACCAATCGAGTTGTCGCAAATTCCTCTCAACACCCAGTTAAAGTGATTGTTAAACTAACACTTTCCCTACAGGGACCCGTCCAAAAACTTGCCGTTCTTGCCATCTACTTTTACCTTTTCCCCAAATGTTACTTACGAAGGGTGACAAATAGCAAATATACCTGCCTACTATCGATACATTTACAAAATTTAATCTGTACACACTCCCTAATTTATTGCTAAATTCAGAACTTAACATCTCCCTAAATATTTGCGTGCCAGCCAAATGAGAGAAGAGTTCAAAGAATGGTCTAAATATAGATAGAAAAGATGATATTTACTTTGGGAGCATGCTGTGAAGCAGTTCATCTGTCCTCTTCTTTTCTTCAATCCACTGTTCAGTTCGTTTTTCAACGAGTTTTTCCAGATTGAGTGAATGTTCTTCCAGCATGTAAATTATCTTATCGACGAGGTTGTTCCTAAACGCAAACAAAATTCACGATCATCTAAATGGGTCTAAACCTCAAAACGGTGAGACAAGTTTGTTATTGATTAATCAATCATGACACTGTATGACTGTTTGTGGACTGCAATTTATGTAATTGCAGAAAAGGCACTTGGAAAAAATTTCGAACCCAGGCCTCCCTGATATTACTTGAGTACTACTACTCGTACAACTGTGGTGCCACACGTTGGAAGCGAGGCAAACTTTTAGAAGGTTCATCTTTTTCCGTAAAGAAATCTGACTACATTTCTTTAACTGGATGCATAATGTGGTTTTGCATGTCACGTTATATCTATCGTTAGCTGTAAACAGTTGTTAAAAAGAAGAAAAACATTGAACCATACTTTCTTCCGTGGAGTTTCTTTAATAGCTTTCTTATCTCCCAAAATTCAGGTCTTTCATCCGGATTCTCATTCCAGCACATTTTCATCAAGAGGTGAAGATCTTCTCTTGCCACATTGGCCGTGAGTGGAGGGCGAAAAGGAGGATTGGTACGGGTCGACACACGACCGACAATTTCTGTCACGAACACAGTGGTACATACGATGTCTCAATATAATTCTGTTTGTTCTATTCTACCTAAACTAACCTAACATTAAGGGTACGTTTTTAGATAAATTGTGGTGCTGCAGCGGTAGGGGATATTGCTCATTCACTGTAATCTTTATTGAAAATTTACGGAAATCTGCCATGTGGTATTCCAGACGATTCCCTTTACTTACCCTTTGCCTTAAGGTGGCAGTCATGATATGGCAGATGCCTAGTCTCCAGTTCATGTACTATGATTCCAAAGCTATAAACGTCTCCTTTTGGAGTACCCCTGCATGGGTTTTGTTTCTGACGTAAAAGTTCAGGAGCAGTCCACAACAGCTCTGTGAAATAATGAGTCAATTTCTTTTAGCCACTTCTCGTTGCTATGGGCAACCTACATTCTCAATGGGCACATTCCCGTAAAGGGCGATATCAAAGAAGGACTGGGGGCTATACCTGTAGTAGATCTAGTTATTATAATACTCCTTACCAGGATTGACAAGGAATCACGATATCTCTTTTTTTACTCTGTGATTACGGAAACGAATAAATAAATTTAAAAAAAAAAACAAAAAAACAAAAAAAACAAAAAAACAAAAAAAACAAAAACAAAAAAAATATGATCGTAGGTCGTAGATACCCAGGGTAAACGCAGCATTACATTGCTTTGCCTGGGGAGATGCCCCTATGATAAAGATAACGAAATATTTGAAACAGTTAGGGCTCACGACTATAGAATTCACTATAGAATGGGTTTTGTATTTATTTTGTTTTTACATTTTTGAGTAGGCATTAATCCCTGTAATATTACACACTGACCGTTAAAAGTCACGTGTAAAAGAAACAGTATTTCAAACCTATCAGTTTTATTTGTAATTGTACATCATTCTTGAGGAGTGCTATCTTCTCTTATCATTCTTGACAACAGAAGAAAGGTAGAAAAATGTCTGTACTCGCTGTATGTACCTATACTATGATATCTGGCCTTTACAGGTTCAGCTTTGATGTTTGACATTGCTTTCTTTGTAGTCAAATCTTTTCAAAGTGATACCCGCACACGAAAATCAACGAAGTAAGTAGATGTGTTTTCAAACCGTACTAGAGTAGTCTTGGACATAACCGCAACTTCTCACGCTGAGGCGTTCGTTGTGCACCTTGAACTCCCTGAGCCCGTGGTCTGTGATCTTTAAAATCCAGCGGCTATCTACCACGCAGTTAGATGAGGTGAGGCGTCCATGAAACTTGACGTCAACACTGTGAAGATAGTCCATGCCCTGGGGAACAGTAATGGTATAATAATAACTATAACAATAATAAAAATGATAATTGTACTAATCACAATACAGTCAGCAACGTAGTGAACCAATCAGCCAATAATTGCAACGATACAAAAACAAACATATTTAAAAACACTAATAAGAGGCATAATTTGAGGGGAAGGCTCACAAGACTCTTTTTTAACATTTATTCAGCTTCCTCTCCTCTAAAATGACCATAGATGAAAGCTAAGAGAATGAATAAAGAACGTAGTTCCAGGTGTAGACGATGCTCAATTGTTTTGTCTTCGTCGCATGTGAGACAGCACACATAGAATGTATGTTCTAGCTTTAGAGCAGACCCTCACTTTTAGTGCTGCAAGGCGCGCGTTTCTCCCCCCGCGGGAAGATTTGAGGCGAGTCAGGGAAAGGCTCATCGGTCCGGCAGTAATATTTATTGGTATTAGACCCCTTGCAAACCTCTCGCGGGCTCCCCCGGCTCTAGGTCTCAGGCCGCCAAAAGACTTTCTTTCTTCGACAAAAAGTCTTTTCACGCCCACGGGAAAGCGTGCAGGTCTCGTGCTGAAGCACTAATACTGAGGGACTGTGCGTAAGCCAGGTTGGCTCTGGGTCCTTGTACGGTTTAAAACATCATTAGTATCCCCGAATATAACACCATACACACAGTTATATATGAATCAAGTAGCTTCTCAGTCCTTAGAGAAAATAAAGCTTTTAGTTTGAAACTGAAATTGTTTATCTTACCGTTGCAATTTCCAGGATAAAACTATGAATAAATATGCTGTCTAACTTTATGTCCTCGTTCAAATTGACCTCCTATGATAAAACAGCAATGAATATTTCAATAAATTTTCAACTACACAACGTATAATAACCGTGGCGAGCTTGTATGTGGTTTGTGATGTTATGCAACGCATGCGCAATTTCTAAAAATTGTGTGCTTCGAAAAGGAACTACCAAATCGGCGGCAACGAAAGCAATTGAATTGATTATTTGTTACCTGTAAAGTTCCTCTTGAGCAGTATTCTGTGAGAATGCAGATGTTGGGAGCATCCACGCATGCGCCAAAAAACTTGGTCAAATTTGGGTGATGTACCTCACGAATCTGTGTGAGATTATGAATAATCATAATTTTTAAGTGGTAAGTTTTTTCACAAACTTAACCTTTAATTAAAATGTTAGATTATGCAGCCAGCACATTTTCATCCGCGCTCGATGAAAATGAAACGGCCTGGTCGTAAATACGCAGAGCGGAGGTGCCACTGTTCCTCAACTTTCTACTTCCCATTCCGTTCGCGGCGTTGCTACTATAATCTCACACAGTACATTATAACCAGCTTTGTAGACTGCCGAAAATCATCATGGGAGATTGTATCGATTAAGTGTACTGACCTGTTTTAGTTCAAGGAGCACAGTTCTTGTTAAGTCAACATGATTTTTCTCAATGCGTTTTACGACCACTGGATGTCCCTGCGAGGGAAGTGTTGAGACGGCCATTTTACTTTCAAATATAACATTTACAACAAGTAGACTGGTTTTGTTAATAATAATTAATTATAACCTCTCCACAAATTAACTCTTTAACTTCCATGAGTGACCAGGATAGAATTTCTTCTTACAACATCAATACACTATCAAGCAGACAAGAGATGAAAATAGAGAAAATATCTAATAGGGGATTACAAGTTGACCCAATACCAAATTCTCCGATTGTTTGACTCCATAGGAATTGTACAGCGAAAGGTAAGGCGAATTACTAGTGAGATCTTGGGAGCGAAAGGGTAAATGATTAACGCTTGCTTGACCACAAATATTTCGTGATATTGCATCTCCTCCTTGATCTAACCTATTCCAAACATTCAGTTGCCTCCTCCTTGATCTAACCTATTCCAAACATTCAGTTGCCTCCTCCTTGATCTAACCTATTCCAAACATTCAGTTGCCTCCTCCTTGATCTAACCTATTCCAAACGTTCAGTTGCCGAGGAGTGAAAAAATGCTCGGGTCGAGCGGTTCACTATTTCGCTCGGATTTCGTACCGTTTTACCAGCTGAAAGCCTGGGATAGGCCACCTAACGACAGCCTGTATGCAGCCGCCCCTTACCCTTCGAAAAGATAAACTAGATGGGGTGACGCTCCTTTAATTAAAGATTAGTAAAGTAAATTCTAGTATGGCGGTCAGATGCCTAATTTTTTTTTGTAAACACCTTATATGTCCCCAGTGTGATGCCACACCGAGGTCTGTTTGCCGTTGATATCTGAAAGAAAATAGATGTAAGTGTGCAGCATATACAGTTTGTTTCGTAGCTAGTGATCAATAGATCCCTGGTTATTTAAATTGAGAGTGATAAAGGGGAGGGAGGGAGGGTTGGGGGATGAAGAATTTTTGAGGTGAACAAATGGTTTTCAGAGGGAACGGAGTGGGGATTAGTCGTCACCTACAGAGTACATGGGTGGAAGGAGGGGGGGGAGTACTTTGGAAAATTGACTGCTAATTAACTGCCAACCAGGGGGGGTCATAAGAATATTCCAGAGCCTTAGGGAGGGATCAGTTAAATTATGTCGTAACACAACAAAACTCCTCCTGAGGAAAATCAATATGGCATGAAGATGATCGTCAAAGTAACCTTAGAATATCAACTCCAGAGGAAGGAGAGGGAATCACACAAAGGAAACATTAGGAGGAAAACGTTCGAGGAAGGATGAACAAGGAGAGGAGGTAACAAGAAACGAAAATGAAGAAACGAGATGATAAAGTTAATCCGAAGAGCAGAGAAGAGATTAAGAGAAATGGAAAAATAAGATGGACGCCAATGGGCGAAAAGGCGAAAAATGGGAAAGTTTAATTTTTAGTTTTTACTACTGACGTAACCTGAACAAGAACTTCAACAGTTTCACACCTCGCTAATGGTTGATATCCTTGAGACACTGATACCCATAGCAGGACAAATCACAATGTCTTCGTATTTCACCTTCCATATTTGACTGGCCAGCTCTTTTTCAAAGGCGTGTTTCCTACTAGGATGAATTTAAAGAGTGAATATTAGACGTACAAATATCACAACAAGAGCATAAGTGGAAGTATAAAAGTGGAAATAAATGAGAAAACTCTTGGGAGAAAGCTGGGATCAATGTCTATAGTTATCCGCGGTGTTATTGGATAATATCCTCGTTCGTTACGCATCGTTAAGACGAATGTCTGTTTTAAAGCTGTTAACGCGGCTTACAATAAGTGGCACAAGAGACTTTTGACATCCGACCCCTAAGAGTGACTAACATCCTATTTCTCCTCACAACATCCCCCTTGAATCACACATTAAGGTCATGAGAATTAAAGAGATGATCACCAAGTAAAGAAGCTTTTGATTGTTAAACAAATTCTCTTTGTCAGCACCCTAAGAAATGTATAGAGAATATGCATACTGATGTTAGGGTGCTAAAAAAATACTATTATAAAGACTGACAAGACTTAAGCCGGGAGAGACGTTAAACGTGTTCTTAACTCCTAACGACTTTGTCGGCTGAGTTTTTTTTACCTGATATAGAAGACTAACAGCACCGTACCAGCTACGATAAGAGACGAAACTACAGCAGCAGCTATGACACCTGCTTTGTAGATAATTGGCTTTGAAGGACCTTTCAGAGGGCAAAAAGTGGAAAAGCTTAGCCAGATGAAATAAATAAAAAAAGCTGCAAAAGTTACTGGATTAAACAAAAAAAAATTCTAACATTTAAAACGAATAAAACAGGTCAAACGAGTCAGACGAGTCAAACGGATCAAAAAAGTCGAACAAGGCACTTACTTGGTGAAGGTGTTGGACAGAGCTCACCAGTGAATCCGCATGGAGGCCTGTCTACTGGAGGGGAAGTTCGCTGATCATACTCGGACCAGCTGATATTAATCCCGGAAAGTAGCTCAAGGACTTGGTTTCCGCTCGTTTCGTTCAGCTTAAACTCGCCAACAGTCTTCATTTCTGCCGTCAAAAAGACAAATAGAAACCAACAAAATATGGTGTTATTACTGCAAATTTACAACTTTTGAACAAGGTTCTTTAAAATGTGATAGATCGTCAGCGGAGAAAGTTATTCAATACACCTAAAGCTGACAATTTTGCTAAAATAGACTTCTGCTAGGGAAAAACATAAACCGCAATCATAGCTTAAGTCGTTTATCAACCTTTCCGTGATTAAAACCATCCAGTGACCTTGTTTCATGCAATTTCGACCAACAAATGAATTTTCAAGTAATGGAAAATAAGGGCTACAAGGTGATAGAATATGTCCGTTTGGATTTTGACCAGTCAGAGAGCCGAATTTCACAAACCTGACCAAACTGAAATGGACTCGTCAGTGCGTTACCGCTCATGGTTTTTCAAAATGGGTGAAGAGAATGTGCTCTGTGATTTTTCCATTGTGGGCACAAATAGGCCACAATCAGTAAAGAATCTGGTTTCGAGAAAAACGAATTTAATATATAACTCTATTGATTACTTTTAATTTTTCTTACCATGTCCACCACCAGCATTCTTGAAATATTCAAGAAGAGTCATGTTAAATTCAACGTCTCCATTCTCATCCACATGTAATTGAAATCCTGTGATACCTGGCAAAATAACGAGGAGTAAAAAACTTATTTTTCCTCTAATCACAGAGACCAATGGAAGTCATGAAAAAAGCTGATGTCGATAATAGGGCCTTAGATGGTCTGCAATCGCGCTTAAAATAAAGTTTAGACACAAAGAGCAAAATCTTACTTTCAAAATTTGTCCTTTTGATATTCTTAAACACGGCAACTCCGTCCTTTGGGCTCTGTCCGTTGGAAATCGTCTTATTCAGTGCCAACGCGTACAAATACACGGCGTCATACAAATACGCGGCATAATGAACTACCTTTGATTGAAAAAGAAATTAATCAAAAGAGTAATTGACGCACAGAAAGAGCTCTCTTGAAATGAACAAAATTGATTCAGCTCAACTTGGCAGTCAAATACCTACAGTAACTGGCCAAAGTCTCGCACGCTCTTGTCATTTCTGAATGTTTTTTCTTCTTCATTTTAATGCCACTGGGTTAGATTGTTTGGGGGGAATGTGGGGTCTTTCACGAAGCTTATTACATACGAATTACACGATTTCCGTTTGTTATGCTGAGTGAAGGGTGGTCGACCTTCTACCGAGAGGAAGGGGTGCCAACTAATTTTGCCGTTCTCTGTAGTATCTAATCAATATCATAGTTTTATGATTGTTGTAAGGACAATCCTTGTACATCTCAGATGGGTTTCAAAACCCTTTTTTTCTAGCACCAAAGCCATACTGTAAAATCAAAACTTGAACCTCAGGGGTCTTTTTGGCCTGATTTTCTAAAACTCTGTTTACATTTCTGGATCATCACAAATTCCCATACATTCGAAACTTTGGTGTCCTTTCCTTTACAAATCTCTAGATAACGTTTTGAGTTACTAACATGGCATTTAACAGTGTAATTTCTTACGGTTTCATATTACCCCTTCTTCAAGCATTTGAAAAGAAAACACGAGTCTTGATGAGCTTTTGTCTCTTAGATAACTCTGTTATGAGAAAAGACGAGATCTTGCAACGAGCAACGTGTGAATTTTGTGACACCTTCTCAAACTCACTTGGTCCTGCGTTTCGTCGTTCGCTTTTTTTAACACACGCTGCTGGAACTTTTTGTACTTGGTAGCGTTGAAAGGTCTGGAAACTAGTGTAAGTACTGAGTGCCAGGCCCTCTCGGCTTCGACCTTGTTGATCTTTCCACTGATTCCTGTCAACCAGTACTCCGCGTCCTGATGCTGTTGGCCAATCACAGAGTTAGCTGTGCTGATGATGTACACGTAATCACCATTTGTCATCCCTTTACTTCGAGCGCGGACCATGAATGGTGGTGCATATTCAGGATTTGCAGCGATTATCACAACTGGAAGAAATTTTAAACCTCAATAAAGTAAAACTGTTGGCAATACACTTTCTAAAAGGGAAAGTGAAATGTTGCCGAGCCCTCGACATGCCTTTATAGTTTGGAATGGTGTCTGTTTGTTGTTGAGTTTCGTTTTCGCGCGCAGAACATTTTATAAATGAGGCAGTCAAACTTTTCGTCACGATCAGGACTGAGAAGTGCTCATCAAGGTCAATGGTCTCGACATGGTGTTTCAGCAAAGAAATAAATGAAAAACCATTTCGAGGTCTCTCTTCCCTCTTTTTACATCCTGACTTGTACAAGCTCGCGAAAAGGGCTTTTCAAAGACAAATTTATGACCTGCTTCTGACTGTGCTTGGGGAAAACGATTATGACGTTGGCCCCCATTCTCTAATCTTGAAATTAAAAACTAGTTCTTATCATACCTTATAGCTGTAGTTATTACTTCGCCAACAACAACACTGATTTATCATTAACTCCCCTCTCCACCTCTCATTTCAACGCCATTTCTAGTTATCATTGGATCTGCTTGCTGTACTTGCTAACAGATCAGAGGAACAGAAAAAGCATTGCGTGACCACAGAACGCAACTACTGTGATGGAGATCAATATGTTAGACTATTTTAGCTGAAATAAAAGTACGAGGTATACTTACTCCGAGCCTTTACTTTGATCTCCTCCAGGATTAGGTCAAACCTTTCCTGCTGGTGCTCTTGTGGCATTTGAGCCTCGTAAGTGACTTCGATGCCATTTTCTTCAAAATATATTTTCATGTCTTCTTTCGTCTTCTCCCATCGCTGCTGACTAAAGCAACTACCATCACAATATATGATGGCTACTCGTGTCCAAGAAAATTTCCTCAGCACAGCCAATACACTCTTGCTTAGCTGCGAGTTGGGAGGCCTTGTTCGAGCGAAGGTTGGGTAAAGAGATTTATCGGAGACAACGTCTTCATTACAGAACTAAAATGGAAAATCAGTCATCAGCAGTCAGCGGAAGAATTAGTCATTTATCTGTAAAATATCATTTTCGAAATACGAGTTGCAATAACCTTATCCTAAGCGCTAAATATTGACTTGCAATCAAGTTGTTGATAATAGCATATCAGTCATACAACAAAGTTCTTTAGCGAGTTTCGATAATGCTTATATTTCATTAAAAGTTATCGGTTTCTAGAGGGTTATCTGCTCAAGTTTATCCGTTTTCGTTTATCTGATTTCTGAAATCGATTAAATGCGCTCAATATTGGGGTAAATTTTAAACCCAGAAAGAATCATTATGTAGCATTCCATCTTAGGGGAAGCAGAGACAATGCTGGTTGGCCCAATTATTTTACTTAAAGTTGTATCAGGGACTAGCTTACAATTTGAAATCTTGCTGCGAAGGCCGAGGTGTGCTGACGCTCGAAACGTTAGCTTTAGTTCTCTTTATGGTGGCCAATTTACATCGTCAACTCAGCTGATAAAACCAAGTATGTCTAGTAATACTCACCCATCGACGCAGCATCTCAGTTTCTTTCCAAACTTACCTCCTTTATTTAAAAAGTTGTTATGCGGAGAAAGTATTCGGAGAAAGTATTCAGATTACTCAACTCGGTATCAAAATGCTATATTCATCAGTCATTATTCAGCCAAGAAAAACACTATCGTCATGGAAATCACAACAGTACCGTCAAATAAAGCTGAGGTTGTCATAGTTGCTCCTGATAAGCTTATGTTAATACTCCATAAAATTTTAACTCCACTGCCGAAAACTTCAAATAGACTTATCCTATTATTTGTTTAAACTAACAACATGACATGTTGTGCGATTACCTTCACCTTGACCTGTTCATGCAATACATTTAATTAGAAGGGGAATGAACTTAAAAGGCGGCATGAAATGAAAATATCGTGAAAATAAGATCTCGTGCAAAAAAAAAGCCTTTTTCTAGCCAAAAAAAAAATCGAAGGCTGTCAACGAGTAAAATTACTCAACACCTGTGTAAAAATTAAGGTTATGCAATGTTTGGAAAGCTTTACAACGTAGATTAGGATAAATTTTCGGCTCAGTTAATAGTGAGTTGACAGAAAGAGAAGCATTGCAGGTGTCATTATACACTGGCTCGCTGCGGCAGAATGAGAAATTAATCCCCTTTGTCTGACTTCTGGCATAAGTTTGGGCTGTTACGATCAGCTTACTAGAGCTAATTTAAATGCAGTGTATAAAAGAATTTCTGAGATCCGATCGCATTACTCTATAGTGAGCAAGTCTTGTTGGATGAGCAACACGTCTTTTCTGACAAAACATCGCTTTGCGTCCTTCGCGGTCTGTTTGGCTTATTGGTTGATTCCGGCTGAGAGCTGACGGTGTATCTTAAAGGTAAGTAATTGCCTGTCTTCGCAAATGTCTTATTATATTTTGAAGTGAAAGGTTATTCAAGACAGCGGCAGTTTGTGGGAACCGTATTTGTATAAAAGGAACACAACACATTATACTGTGACATTACTCTTGCTGCAAATACATAGAGGACGTTTCACTAAACGCAGGGGAAATCCGACCCTACCTAAAACCGATGTGAACGAAGAGTAGTTGTGTTCTTTCCGCCACTGAAGAAAAGGTAGCTAAAAACATTTTTACATGATTGGGGATCAAAGGAAACGTATTGAATTATTAGGGTTTGCCCATAATTTAGGTACTTAACCAAAGTTTTAAAGAGGATCCTCTCCGTTAGTACATCTTGAATAATGTAACGTAAATTAATTAATTTCATCGAAATACGCATTATCTCCTTTATTTATCGTCGTAGTTTCTTGTATATCACAATCTTTTTGTATTTCTTTCCCAAGCCATTGGGACATGTCTCTTTGCTTCTGTAATTTGATGAAAAATTTGAATAGCTTTAAAAACGCAGCGAAATAACTTATTTTAGCCCCTTAAAGACTTGTATGGACGCCTTGGAAATTATTGCACCCTCTCAGACTTGATATAGCATGAAACTTACGTATGAGATTATGGGAAGATTCCAGGCTGCAGCGACACGGGCTGAAGTTGCACAGTAGGTCTCGTTTCCCGGCCCGATAAAAACTTGAACTCCGCGATTCCTGTGCTCGGTCATGGCCTGGATACCAACCAGCTCACTGCATCGCGTATCATTCAGATGATACGATAACTTAAAGTTGAAGGTGCTGCTGTTGTTTATGGTCTCGATGGCCACATGGAAAGCGGAAGCGAATTGGTTATCGGTGGTAATCAGCTGCTCACAGGACGAGAAAGGGTAAAGTAGTACCACTGTGACAGTTTCCTTGTTGGGTTGACTGTTCGACTGAATTGCAGTCGTGGGCAGAAGAACCACGAGAGAGAAAAAATTACTGAACTGCCAAGTTGCCATGCTAGTTTGCTTTGTAGTGATCACCTCCGCTTAGTAAATGTCTCCTTTCTTTTCTGAGTTCTCTTGAGTAAATACTGTTAAAAGAAACTTCATAGCACTTCTACATTAGTCTGACAAGTGATCTTCGTCATCATGAAGGAAACAATTCAGCCATCAAGCGCAATGTTTACCATCGAAACGCGATATTTCAACGTGCAGCTCCATTAGACGTTCAAATTAAGGGTGATCCGTGAAGCTTTCATTACCCACAAGTGAACCGACAACTTTGTCAAACTGTCGAACTTCATCTTAACGCCATTGGTCAAGAGATCCACTCTTGACATTTTCATTGAATGGTAATGCATAATTGCTTTGAATACTCAGTTGCTTGTTTGGACTTCAAGAAATATTTACATTTGTTTACTTTTTTATACAGAAGTCAATGTACCTCTTAAGGGAACGAATATCCCATGATTGATAACCAGCAGGAATCATTTGGTACTCGATGAACGACGAAAAAAAAAAGTTCCAGCACCCAATCAACTTGAGACTTGAAAATCCGAAGCTAACGGTTCAGTTCTTTACGGAAGTCGAGTAAATGCAAATTTCGATGAGTTTATTGAAGTGATAGTCATTCCGTAATTCAAAAGTATCTTATATCACTATTTCGCATAACCTTCGATTCCAAAAATGTTAATCAAGGTCCGAGATGTTAAAAGTTTTCAGTACCACACTCTGCCTTTAGCCTAAAAATCTTTTTAATTTTTTTCGTTTCAGTGGACTGCAAATAGGATTATAGAATCCGGTGATATGTGTAGGCAACTGGCTCAGCCGATAAGTTTGTTTATTTTCTTTAGTATTCTGTTAGGTGTTATTGCCTTGATGATTTTGGATGATGATCAGTTCAAGCAGCTTACGCCGGGAATCACATATGAAATTCTCTGAAAGAGAACGCGTTAGGGAAATTCGTGTGCCTGACAGAGGAAAATATCTCATCAAACTGAATATATTTTGTAAACCGCGATTATTGCCCTTGACAATTGTTTTATGAGGCTTCAGGGTCAATATTGTGTCATGCTTGTTGAATCTTAAAAAACTTCAACAGATTTTCTCGTCATTTGCTATCCGTTTTATGCTCGGCATCCATAGGTAGCCCCGGTTACTAATCCGCGGTTTACCTTTGCTTCTCTCTTGTTTGTTTTCTTAAACAAATCGTTATGTTAGGCTTCAACTCTCTATTTAATTAGAAGCATATGCTCCTGGTTTGACGGCTGTTGTAACGTTAAATTAATCCAAAATCGTGAAGTCGGTACTTGCCATCAAAATGGCAGCCATTACAAAGCTACATGTCGCTTCCGTAGTCATTGCTTCGACGATTCTCGAGATGTTCTCTCGAGCCGTGCCATTCAAATGTCATTTAGCTATTGATTCAGTTTTTGCAAGGCTTTAATGCAAACAAAAAGCTTCTAGCTTCTTTGGTCAAGCTGCATGACTCCTAGAAACGGGAGTGAAGTAGTCTTTTATTTCAGCAAACGCGGATAGGATGCAAGAAGCTATTCGGATCTCTTAACACGCTGTGAACGTTAAGTCGACTATTCACATCCTCTCGTTATACATCATTAGTCGAATTGCGTGTTTTAATATTTTGTCTTTAATCAGTCGCGTCATATCTAAATATTGTTTTTTTTTAAACCAATTCTAATTTCGAAATCAAGTAACCCATTCGCCATTTCAGTGTAAATAACAGTAATTACATTTAAATATTTTTAAAACAAACCTATCGAAGTTTTCATCAACACTGCAAACTCAAATATCTCTTCGCGCGCTCATTAGCAACCATTTCAACTACTTTCAAATGAAACTCGGACTCTACGCGTCTTATTCTTTTCCATCAAAGCTGCTGCTTTTTCTCCATGTTTTGCTTATGTTAGTGACGTATACCTAAGTATATTTTTCAAATTCTAGGAAAGCAATCGGTCGGTAAATATAACATCGGATATCATTCACTTTTATCACCTGTGTGTTTCACACTGAATTGCTTTATAATTGCAAATAGACATATTGTTATCTTCGAGTTTATCTCCTTTAGAAGATTTCAATCTTGAGTTATATTTATTTCAACAATGTATTGGATTTGCTACGCAACCAATATATCAGGATCTCAGGTCTCATGCAATCTAAAAGGTCGATACAAATATATTTTTTCGTGATCGAAGTTTGCGCTATCTTTTCAAAAAGGTGAGAAAAAACTGAAAATAAAACGTAATGTTTTGATACTTCAAATGTCAACATAATTCATATTTATCGGTTTGTATTTTTTTAAAAGCCCCGAGTCAGTAACGTATTATCATACAGCGATTTATCGCAACACCTTCTTATGCCGACTGTGCCGTCGATTCATATTTGCGTTACACAATAACAAGTTGATTTCGTTTTCGCCAAGTTTGTCAGGAATCTGACATTTCATATGACACTCGGAATTCCTAGCAAGAGGTTTAGGATACCAAGGAGTGATTCATCGACTACTGAGGATGCATTTGGTGTGAATAAGCTTTTAACAAAGCCATGAGAAGCTTAAGTTAATGAATGGCACCTGCGGAACGTAGCGAATCGAACTTTCCCTGTAGTTAAGAGGGATCAAATTCGCTTAGTTTTGAACATTAGCAGCTAATATTTTAAGTACGCAGTCGGATCGAGATTGTTAGAGAACGAACAGAAAGCGGTTACGGTTAGCTGTCTTCACAGACCCGCGGCAAAGCATTTTAACTACCTAGGGAACCAACATTGGAAGGAAAAAAGATTCTGGTCAGTTTTGTTTTGATCTTAGTAGTATTATTATATAATAATTCAATGACTTTTAAATTTTCCTTCATTTGGAGAGTAAATACCCAAAAAGCGCGACCATGGCATAAATTATCTCACCGGCTGAGACACATTCCCACCTCTTTTTAAGGTGTAGAGGGTTATAAACTTTGATGGAAGACATATTTGCAAACTGGAAGAAACAAACAAACACTCAAACAAACACAAAAAAGTATACGACAATCCTCAAATTGCCATAACAAATTATTTTCATGACGGGTTTTAACATCAACTCATGAAGAGTTTAAACATCAACTCATCAAGCTCGCTTTCAGAAACATCTTAGCCGCTGCTTCCTCTTAAATGTGTCTTGCCAAACCATTCAGGACATGTAGTTCATTTCATTCAGCTTTTGCACTAACGCAGGGGGCGACACAACCTCCCACCGGCCTTCGTATCAAGTCGAGCTGATCAATTCATGAAGTTAAAGATCTACCGCCAAAGGATAAAGTACAACTTAAACGATTTTGCTTGGATTAAATTTATCAGTGTAAGCCTAACGAAACTTTTTTTTATCGCTAACACCTCAGTATTTACCATTTTCAGAAAAGACTGACCAATTAGATGAAAAAATCTTTCTCCAAGCTTTCAACTTACCATTAGCTTTTGGAGAACAGCGCCGAAACGATCGCACCATTACCTACATTTCCCATGCAAATTACTCATTAAGGCTTTTCATTGGAAACATTAAAGTCAAATTGCTTTGACGAAAGCCGCAACGCTTTCCAGCACGCTTAAAACTTTGCTCATAAAGACGAATATCGGGCCTTAGTCTCCAGGTGACGTTTGTGAGACTAGAGAGTCACGTAACTTCTACACTTTCTTTAACGTGTTACTGAGGCCAAGAGGAATCTGTTTCAGGTAGTTTCTTTGATTCTTATTTTTTTCACTGATTTTAGAGTTCGATTATCAATTAATATCTCTTAAAAGGGTTTCAAAGCTGAGTTGTACGTGTACCTAGACCATGAATTTGGAGTCAATAATTCAGGTTAAACTTGCAAATGTAAACTGGTCGGTTTTTTCCTAACGTACACACATTTTACAATGTAAACTGTTTTATGTAAAAATGGCAGATGTTAATTTGAGTACATTCTATTTATCAAAAATAGGTCAGCTCACCAAAAATCAAGAATTGTCAGGGTAGTCAAAATGGGAATCGAAAGCAGATTGATTTCATACGTAGTTTAACTCAATTTAACCTTTATCCCTCATTGAATTACCCTTCGATCCACGCTAAAGACGGAGAGCACGATTTTTTTTGCGCAGACGGACCGACTTTGGCTGGTAGATATGATGTTTTACTTTCTCCCCGGTAAATTGGTTTATGAACGATTTTTGTGTGCATAACAGTGTTATTTGCATAGACTTTATCCCTTTTACTCAAACCTTTGGTAAGGTAAAAAAACAAAAAAACAAAAAAAAGCTGCAACGATCAAATCAGAGGAGCTTAGTAACAAAGCAACATTTTGAATCGACCGGATTAACTCTGTCACTCCTAAGATCTCATCAGTATTTCTCCCTACTTTCTGCCATATACAATTCTTAGGATGTTGTTTCGGAAAATTTGGTATTGGATCAACTAATATTCCCTTAAATTTCTTCTATATACTCATGACTTGTCTGCTTGTCTTTGTATTAATATTGTAAGGAGAAATTCTGTCTTAATCACTCATGGGAGGTAGGGGTAAACATTTTTACCACCATGCAGCGATTAAATTCTATTAGCTTCCAGTTTAAGAGTCAAATGATCCAAAATCAGTCGTCGCTTTTTTATTTACACCCACACTGAGACTGTATCGCACTGCAGTCTAAACTAGGAATGAATTTATTGCCGGAAAGTCATATACATAAAACTAATGCATCATTTGCTTAGTAATGAAGTGTCAACTTGCGTCAACCAATTCAATTCACTTACAACACTGATGCGGAACTTAATGAGGTGATGGCTTTTGAGGTCGACGATATAAATTTTGGCCAATTTACGGCCCACGGTAAATATATTTTGTGGTCGCGTTTACAGTTCACCTATTTTCATGACTAGCAGTTAAAATTTGTCAATATTTTACGCATAACGGCTAAATTTTTTGGCTGTTTTTCAGTTAACGTTTAACCTCATTGAGACCCTCCAAAATGTCACTATTGTTGAAATGTTGGTTGAT